TTATTGGTCAGTTAGTCCTTCAAAAAATATCTTTAAAATATCCACATTTATTGACCTGTTGGTCCTTGAAATATCATCTTAAAAACATCCACATTTTTTGGCCTGTTGGTCCTTGAAATATCATCTTAAAAACATCCACGCTTATTGGTCAGTTGGTCCTTGAAAAATATCTTTAAAATATCCACATTTATTGGCCCGTTGGTCCTTGAAATATCATCTTAAAAACATCTACGCTTATTGGTCAGTTGGTCCTTGAAAAAATATCTTTAAAATATCCACACTTATTGGCCTGTTGGTCCCTGAAAAAATGTCTTAAAAAATCCAAGCTTATTGGCTTCTTGTATCTTGAAAAAATGTGTTTAAAAAATCTACTCTTATTGGCCTCTTGGTCCTTGAAATAATATCTTTAAAACATCTAAGCTTATAGGCCTCTTGGTCCTTGAAAACATATCTTTAAAAAATCCACGGTTATTGGCCTCTTGGTCCTTGTAAAAATATTTTTAAAAAATCCACGCTTCTTGGCCTTATGGTCCTTGTAAAAAACCTTTAAAAAATTCACGCTTATTGGCCTCTTGGTCCTTGTAAAAAACCTTTAAAAAATTCACGCTTATTGGCCTCTTGGTCCTTGTAAAAATATTTTTAAAAAATCCACGCTTCTTGGCCTTATGGTCCTTGTAAAAAACCTTTAAAAAATTCACGCTTATTGGCCTCTTGGTCCTTGTAAAAATATCTTTAAAACATCCACGCTTATTGGCCTCTTGGTCCTTATAAAAATATTTTAAAAAAATCCACGGTTATTGGCCTCTTGGTCCTTGTAAAAATATCTTTAAAAAATTCACGGTTATTGGCCTCTTGGTCCTTGTAAAAATATTTTTAAAAAATCCACGGTTATTGGCCTCTTGGTTCTTGTAAAAATATTTTTAAAAAATCCACGGTTATTGGCCTCTTGGTCTTTGAAAGAATATCTTTAAAAAATCCACGCTTATTGGCCTCTTGGTCCTTTAAAAAATGTCTTAAAAAATTCACGTTTATTGGCCTCTTGGTTCTTGAAAACATATCTTTAAAAAATCCACGCTTATTGTTCTCTTGATCCCTGTAAAGATATCTTTAAAAAATTCACGGTTATTGGCCTCTTGGTCCTTGAAAGAATATTTTTAAAAAATCCACGCTTATTGGCCTCTTGGTCCTTGTAAAAATATTTTTAAAAATTCACGCTTCTTGGCCTCTTGATCCCCGTAAAAATATCTTTAAAAAATTCACTGTTATTGGCCTCATGGTTTTTGAAAAAATATCTTTAAAAAATCAACGTTTATTGGCCTCTTGGTTTTTGAAAAAATATCTTTAAAAATCTACGCTTATTGGCCTCAAGGTTTTTGAAAAAATATCTTTAAAAAATTCAACGTTTATTGGCCTCTTGGTCCTTGTAAAAAAATCTTTAAAAAATCCACGCTCATTGGACTATTTAAAAATAAATAAAAAATCTTAGGATGTTGTCGGATGTAGATAGTCTTCAGATAAATATTCTGAGAAAAGACACGTAAATGATTTCTAACATGTTTACGATCACGCGGCTAATAATCCTGGATAATATCTTTATAAAATCCTAAAATTCAACGTTTAACCTATTTCTTATTATTTGAAATTGCTATTCACTACCACAATTATAGTCCACAATCCAATTTTGGTTGCAAATTATAATAGATTTCCAATATTTTGTAATTGATTCCTTTCTAAAGAAATCCATTATCTTTTGCTAAAAACAAATTATAATTGTTTTTCCAAATACAGAGAAAAAGCTAAACGGTGAAGCAACACAAACCAGCTGACATCAAGACAATTTGCTGCATTTATTTAAACAAACAATTCCTTTCACTTTGCCATTAAAACCATTCACTAATTGCCCTGGAATCATAGGACAACAACGTTCGCCAGCAAAAGGTTTGCTTTGCGTAACTTGGCTTAGAAACTTGGTTAGGTTTCTTCAGTTGCTGTGGATGGCAGCAGATTTATTGCCACTACATGGAGATCATTAACTTTTATTACAACAGCAGCGGTAGGAACAACACAAATATGACTTTACCAAGAAGGAGATAGTATTTACACAATCCAATTATAACAATAAATAATCCTCCCAGGTGCAATTATAGCTGGCTAGCTGCAGCCTTTATTCTACATTTGATCATATCCAGTGTGGCAGTGGCCAAATCAAAGTAAAACATGCAAACAAACAAAAGAACCTGGAGACACTGCAACAAAAATGAAAACAACTCAGCAGCAACTCAGCATCATAATATGCCTATTAAATGTAAAAAAACACTTGAGAAAATAGCCTTACGTGGTAACCACCAGCTAGGGAGCTCGACTAGATATCTATGGTGCTTCAACTAAGTGCTGAAGAAAACTAACATGAGTACACAGAAAACATGGGGGCAAACAACACAAATCCCTCTTCAATTAAATACAAAAGAAAACACCTGCTCCCGATTCATGTACGAGTACAATGAAAATCACGATCAGATCGTGTTGTTGTTATAAAAAAAAAAAATAGCACAAACATACCGCCAGCGGATGGAGTTTGTCATGTATAGATCGGAAGAAATCATTGACAACAGAACAGCATGTGTAAATATTGGATAATGTAGAGGACACGCAGCAAATAACAATATTTGACAAAGGCTTTTCATAATACAGTAGCAATAATTATGTATTTACTTTTAGAAATATGTTAAATATTTTTCATAAAATTTTTAAGGCACTTTTTCACAGACAATCATGGCAGATTTTTTTTAAAATGAACTAGCAGAGAGAAATCTTGTTTATTTAATATTCCTCCAATGACTTTGGTGCAATTTCTATACAAGAAATATAATTGTAGAATACCCAAAGATAATTTTCAATTACACAGAATAAATTAAAGCGGATGCTTCCAAATTTTTTCAAGGCCTATCAACATCTTTTGCGAGGTTTCTAGTGTATCTAAAAGACTAGTTTTCAGCAATAACCTTGTATTTTTTATTAAGGATATTTTTACAAGGACAATCAAAGCAATAAAAGTAGATTTTATTATGCCCTCAGCCACGTGGCTAGAGACCCTCTCTATAATCATTTGATACGACCAAAACCAGCCTGATCGAAATAACGGTTTTTGACCCTATATCTCTTTGGACCAAATGCGTTTCAGACATTTTAAGTCAATCTAGCCATGTTCGTCCGTCTGGTGTGTACGATAACTCTCGAAGGAAGTATCCGATTTGTTCCAAACTTGGTACATCGTAATATTATTATCAAAATAAGATCGAGTTCGGAGATGGGCAATATCGGTCTACTCCTTCTGGTTGACATTTTCAAAGGAAATATTTTACTGCACAGAGAATATTTGCATCTGCTCAAGGTCAGGTGCGAAAATGGATAATATCGGTGCACCCCATCAAATACATCCCCCATATAGGGTCAAAATTTTTAAAATCTTTGAAGTATACATGGCTCGAAATTAACATCCGATTCCATTAAAACTTGGTACAACTCAATATTTCTATCACCACAAGATCTGTTATAAAGGTGGTGGAGATCGGACCATTCCTTCTGGTACCTCCCCCAAAAAGGGTCAAAGTTTTGAATTACCAAAAACATATGCCTACCAGTCACATATCGCATATAAAGTGAAGGAAGTGACCAATATAGTCCAAACCTGGAACGTTGCAACATTTATATCATATTTATTTGGGTCCGATACGAAATGTGCAATATTGGCCCATTCCTTCGGAATCTACTCCATAGAGGGTCAACAATTTGAATAATCATAACAGAAGTCAAAATATGATTGAATAATCGAACATTGCCTGAGGGTATACATCCATCGGCAAAACCGACTGATACTACTACAACTAGGACTAGTTTTAGATCAATCCTAGCAAAATTTTGGATTTTCAAGAATAGATTAATTGGGGGGTTTGGTTATACGACATCGTGGACCTATATAGGCAATTCTCTTCCAGGGGATAGAGTACTGGAAGGAACTCCTTGTGTAGAATTTCAGACAATTCCTTTGAAAAATGTTACTAAAATCATTAAAATATCGAATATAGGGCCTATACGATCACTTGGACCGATATAGAAATTCTCTTTCAGGGGATAAAGTACTCACAAGGAACTCCCTGTGCGGATTTTCAGACAATTCCATTGAAAAATGTGGCTAAAATGATCAACATACCGAAAATCGGGGTGTACCGTTATTTGGGGGCTATACGATATCGCGGACCTATATAGCCAATTCTCTTCCAGGGAATAAAGTGCTCCTTTTTTCCTTGTTCCATTGAAAAATGTGGCTAAAATCATCAAAGTGCCAAATATCGGGAGGTACAGTTATATGGTGCATATACGACATCGTGGACCGATGTAGCCAATCTTCGAACTTGACCTGCCTGCAAACAAACGATTATAACTCTTACAAAAAGGGAAATAAGAGCCTAATTATCTTAAAATTTTCCACATCCCAATATTTTTATCAACATAGTATCCGGTGTAAAGATATATCGGATCGGTAAATCGGTCATAATCCCCATAATTTCTAACCTGATTACGGGAAAGTAATTTTTCGTTGAGGGAAATACCCGGTTCCCTGTTATTCGTCCTGAAAACTCGGATCCGAAAACCCGACTTTTTCCGGCTCTACAAAACTGAAATGAAAAAAAATCTATGTTTCTACCTTATTTATATATTGTTAAGTAGACTTGAGACTTTCTCCTCCGGGCTATGTCTGACACCGGCTACGCGATCCCGAATACAATAGAGTCCTATCAAGTTCGCTCGTTAATAAATTTTAATATTTGTCGTTTATTTAGGTCTTTGAGTTTAATAATACCAACTTAATTGTCACCGGTTAAAAAATGCATATTTATTACACAAATTAATTCTCCACAATCTAATTAACGCACTAAGTAAATTCTCAAATCATATTATACATAAAATTATTTCAAAACGATTAAAATTAATTCACTTACCTGAACATTAAAATTGAAGAAATATTCTGGCCGCAACGGACATGGTAATCCACATTTACAGGTACCCGATGTCAGTAAGTAATCCTTGATTTGAAATGGTGAACGTAGCGTCACACCAGTTGGACTGTAACGAGAAGAAGAATAAGAAAATGGGGGTGAAAGAAAGTGAGAGACACAAATTAATAAAACATGAATGAGTCAAGAGTTAGGTTGTACAGAGCTAATAGAGTAAGAGGTACTTTGAATGGTTTTCATACCGCCCCTTCCATTGTGACATTGTGGGGTAGGACATTTCTAAAAAGGAATTTAAAAACAATTATTAACCATGTCCTACAACTGCACGGCAACGATGGGGGAGGCCAACAACAATAACAGCAAGAATTTTAATTAATTTGTTTTGTTTTAACTCGTCGGTCGTCGGTGTCTGGCTGTGGGGGAGTGGGATGGCAACATGAGTGCTATGGCCTTAAAAGTAGGAATGAATGGAACCAAGCAGGTATGACGTTTATAGATTTAATACAGGAGATAAAGGCAGGCCAAAGCTTAAGGCGTTTTAAATTAAAAGTGGGTGGGGAGAAGCGGGAACGGTGGCAGTATGCAGCATTGTGGTGTCATAGCACGGAGATATGTTGTTTTGTACTCAACAGAATATTGTTGCTCTTATTTGCCATAAGCGATTTCTGCTGTACACCTTCCCTTTGCCATGTAGGTAGCATATCTGCTCGTGTCCTTTTGTCTCAACTTTGACTGGATGTTTCCATTGAATTAATTACTTTGACATATGGAGGTTAATTAAGTCTCTGAGAGCCTAAACACGCACACACACACACACTAATAAACAATGACGTCAGCAGCATATCCCAAGTAGTCCTATGTTTATATGTCATTATTTTGTTTTCGGTCTGCTCAAGTGTTCTGTTATAGACAACAGCAACATAAAACAACAACCATTAAAAGTATTTGTTTTTGCATTTCCTTCTTGGCGTGTCTTTTCTTCCATGGCAGTTCAAGTTAAGAGGTGTGTTTAATTCCCGAGAAATGCCAATAAAAAGTAAATGCCATGGATATAATATTTCACGTTGAATTCAAGTAATTTGTTACAATTAAACAATTCGAGTGAACTAAACAAATGGGAGAATTAGATAAATTGAAAGCCAATTACATAAAATTTGAATTGAAAATGCTACAATTTTAAATTAACAAGTTAAAAAGTATCAGTCGCTCTAACCGACAGATGTATACCCTCAGCCAATGTTCGATTATTTAAATATATTTTGACTTCTGTTATGATTATTCAAATGTTTGATCCTCCATGGAATACATTCCGAAGAAATTGGCCAATATTATGTATTTCGTATAGGAATAATAATAAATAACAAGTTAAAAAGCAGTAAGTTCGACCGGGCCAAACTTTGAATACCCTCCACCATTTGGAACGAATTTGGAAATTTTAAAGAAATAAAATCCTTAAAAAATTCTGTTAAATTTTAAAAATACCGAATATTGCCGTTATTTACAACGTGGACCTACATAGGCATTGTTTGCCATTAGCCATTACCATATTCAAATTCGAAACTTGAAATAAACGGTGAATAATGTAGCTTAAATCATCAAAATATCGTATATAGGGATGTACTATTATATCGGACCTGTGCGAAGACCTGGACCTGCATAGACAATTTTGTCACAGGATATAGCATCCATATTCTTGGATTTATAACAGCTATAATCGTGAAAATTATAATAATTTTTGAAAACTATTACAGCTGGACTCAATTTTTGTGGTTTCTTTACAATATTTTTTTTTTTGAAGGATGGGGATCACAGTAGATTTACATTTCTCAAAAGATCTATAACTAATATATTATATTAAAGATTGTCGAATATCAGGATTTAAACATTGTGGATATAATCGACAATTTTTCCGAAGGAGTGGACCAATATATCCCAAATAAAAAAAAGATATTAGGATGTGTGAAATTTGGAGACAATCAGACTCATACCGATATTATCATTTTCGCACTGACACAAATATTGGGATTTTCAAAGTTGGAGCAAAATCGGATTATCGTTTCCCTTTCTATGCAGAAAATATATATTTTTAAAAATTCCGATCTTTTTGACCTCTGAACTCGATATAAGTTTGACAAAAACATTACGATGTACCATGTTTGGGCCAAATTGGATACTCCTTTCGAGAGTTATCGTGCTCACTAGCCTGCCAGATAGACAGACGGACGGACGGACATCGCTAGATCGACTTCAAATGTCCTTAAAGGGCTAGGAATGTTTTGATCAAATGATATATACCCTCTCTAGCTATATGGCAGTGATATAAAATCCAAAAATTGTATGTCTAGCAATCCCTAAAAATATTCCATAAGTCTCAATTTTAGGTCTAAGATTCCTTAAAAATGGTTATTAAAAATCTAAGATTTTTAGGCCCGAGAGTCCTTAAAAAGAATTGACGATTTTTATGTCTGAAAGTCCTAAAAATGAACGATTACCAAATGCAATAAAAACAAATATTCACGATGTGTAGGTTTGAGAATTACATGAATTACAGATATAAGCATCTCTAGAAATATTCTTTAAAATCATAGTGTGAAAACCCTAATGATTACCGTTCAAGAACTCTAACAGACCTAGAATTAGTTAGATTAAATAACGGATTTGAAATAATACATTAAAATGATGCTAAAATCTGATTTTAAATCATAGATATTTTAATCAATTTTTTATAAAGAACTTTCAGAACCATAAATCGCATATTTGTAATGGATGTTGTTGAAGTTTTGCATATTTGATTTGTTCTGTATGAAGGACATTAAAACATGAAATCGTGGATTGTTTTTAGGAAATTGCTGTAAGAGCCCTAAAAATTATATCTTGTACATCGCTGTAAACCCGACATCAATACAAGGTAGACTTACATTTTTATTTAAAAACACTGGTTATTTTATACGATATGAAAAGAAATTTACATTTTTTAATTTGCTAAATTTTCACACATTTCCACCTTTGTTGGTAGATGGCCAACCAGCAAAAAGTTAATTAAAATGGAAAAATATTATTCGCAGCCAATCAAAACAAACAAACAAACTGCTTTAGTACAGACACCAAAAACAAAAATTTAAAATAAACAAAAACGGAAAATTATACAAAAGTTTCAAGGTGTTCTCCATCTCACCTGAACAATGAAAACATGGCGGTGGGGAGATAATAAGTGATGACTGGTATCTATAGTTGGATGGTTGCCTGGATGACTGCCTGGCTGGCTGGCGTTACTGTTTTCTTTTTATTAAAATGTTAATAAATGCCAAGAAAACGTCTTGAACGGCGATAAGCAGAAGAAAAACCACATTAATATTTTTCTTTTCGCTTAGCAATGGGGATTTACTAAAGACAGTGCAGATTATCATTGTGTCAATGATGGGTAACATGGTAGGAAGCAACGAAAGAAAGCTAGTCAGAGAGTCAGCCATCATTCGTTCATTGCCTGGCTTTGTCACGTCTGTCAGCAGTTGTTAGTTAAAGTTGCCATTTTTTGACCATGACTGAAATGGAATATTTTGACAATATTCCAATAATAATTGGCATCAACAAACGAAATGTTTATTTAGTCGTACATAAAGTCATAGAGCATATGAACAGTAGAGTAGATGGAGATTATATATGCTATTTAAAATTGTTTAAAGCTTTATATTTGAAAAAAAAAAACAAGTAAAAAAAACATTAAGTTCGGCCGGGCCAAACTTTTAATACCCTCCACCTTAGGGTAGAGGAAACATTAGAAGAATTGTGGCAAAAACCATTAAAATGCCGAATATCGGGAGGTATCGTTATACGGGGGCTATAGCAAATCGTGGACCTACACATGCAATGTTTCGCCAAAGGAGCTAGAACCCATTATGACCCACAAATACCAATTTTCAGACAAATACGTGAAAAAATGTGGCAAACATCATCAAATTACCGAATATTGGGAGGTACCTTTATATGGGGGCTATATCAAAACGTGGACCTATACATGCAATGTTTTGCCACACGCACAGAGACTCGTTATGACCTACAACTACCAATTTTCAGAGAAATTCGTGAAAAAATGTGTTAAAAATCATCAAAATACCGAATATTGGGAGGTACCGTTATATGGGGACTATATCAAAACGTGGACCATTACATACAAGGTTTCGCCACACGAACTAGAACCCATTATGACCCACAAATACCAATTTTTAGACAAATCAGTGAAAAAATATGGTAAAAACCATCAAAATACCGAATATCGGGAGGTACCGTTATATGTGAGCTATACCAAAACGTGGACCTATACATGCAATGTTTCGCCACCGGAGCTGGAACCCATTATGACCAACAAATACCAATTTTTAGACAAATCCGTGAAAAAATGTGGCAAAAATAATCAAAATACCGAATATCGGGAGGTACCCTTATATGGGGGCTATACCAAAACGTGGACCTATACATGCAATGTTTTGCCACACGCACTGAGACTCGTTATGACCTACAAATATAAATTTTCAGACAAATACGTGAAAAAATGTGGCATAAATCATCAAAATACCCAATATCGGGTGGTACCGTTATATGGGGACTATACCAGAACGTGGACCGATATATCTCATTTTCAATACCAACCATCCTAAACACAATAAAAATAGCTCTGCTAAATTTTGGCGCTCTACGTCAAATAATGTGGGCTGTATCGTGATTTCAACAGACAGACGGACAGACAGACGGACATCGTTAAATCGACTTAGAATTTTATGCTGATTATGAATATATATACTTTATGGGATCTACGACGAATATCTAAGGATGTTACAAACGGAATGACAAGGTTAATATACCCTCCTTTCCAAGGTGGAGGGTATAAAAATTAGTGATTAGCAAAGGACGGATGGACGGATTTTGCCGACGGATGTATACCCTCAGCTATTGTCCGTTTAATTAAACATATTTTGACATCCGTATTTATTATTCATCATGTTGAGCCTTTATGGGGGAGGTTCCAAAAGAGTAGGCCAATATTATCTTTGATAAATGTCAAAGTGCCATATTTGGACAATATTATTTGTTATGAGATATGTGATAATTTAT